TCGGTGCGAATCGGTCCTCGTAATGCGTGCACGGTCATGTCTCCCGGAAATGCCAAATTTCGGGTTGCGAAGAATTTCCTTGTGCTGGTACTACGCCTATGTAATTCGTTGCCGCGTCGATGCTAAGGGTCGACGGAGTCGGTCGAGCGTGTGAGTCGACGAATCGTGTCACTTGGCCTGCGAATTGCCTTCGAAACGTGTCACGTGGCCTGCGATTTGCCTTCGAATCGTGTCACGTGGCCTGCGATTTGCCTTCGAATCGTGTCACGTGGCCTCCGAATTGCCTCGCGTATAGGGCATCGTTTTCTGTCAGAAAATAACCTCGATATAACCACGAATTTCCTGGCGACGCTCTTACAGAGTCTATACGATAGTGCACGGTTAAATTTACATTGGTTCTGGAGCGACATGTAAATTCTCGCGTATAGGATTTCCTTTCCTATCAGAAAATAACCTTGACATAACCACGAATTACCTGCTGACGCTGTCACTGAGTCTTTACAGTAATGCACGGTTAAATTTACATCGGTTCTGGAGCGACATGTAAATTCTCGCGTACAGGACATTTATTTCTATCGCACGAACACGGCTCGACGAAGCAAGGAAATAGATGCAAAGAGCAGAAGCGAGCTAGATGTATAGGGTGGTCCGTTTAAGTGGACTAAAGTTATCAACAAACCGCGGATCTTTACGCAAAATAAAAATGTTCAAAGCCGCTTGTAAGAAACAGAAATTAAATGCAAATAAATCGTTTCTTTCGATAATTTTGATCAGTTGAAAGTAGCATAATCGAACGTTCAAATCCTTCTATAGTTTTCGCAATTCCCCATTTCATCCATCGATTTTTGCCATAATCACCATTTTCGTAAAAATTAAGAGGCACAGCGTCCGCCGCCATTCTCCGTCCATTCTTTCGTCCGCCGACGAGTTGTAATCTACTATCTGGACAAATCCAACGTCGCTGTGCCCGCGTTAATTAGATAATGATAAGTGGTATCGGTGCGAAATTATCGGGCGTTCCTGGTCGAAGTGGCCGGCCGGCGGCGGCCCGTTGCTATTCGCCGCCGTGTTAAGATTGATTAGGGCGCGTGTAACGCCGCATCTCATTAACGGGGATAGTAATAGAAGAAAGCTGGCCGGCGATACGCTGCCGCGGGTGGGTTATCAAGACGTTATTGCGATCGTTATGCGCGAGATAATGGCCGAGGGAACGTGCGCTCTCTCGTCGGATCGGCCGAGCCGGCGCGCCCGCCGTTCTGCCGTTTCGATCGTTCGCGAGATCGTTGGCTAATTTATTAACGATGAGATCTGTGCGAATCTCGCGTCGCAGGTTTCCAGTCCGGATCCGCGATTTTCACGGCGAGGCGTCGCGTCGCGCAGATCCTCGCGGAGACAGCAGCGGTACCAGAGGACACACGCCGTGAGTAATTTGTAGACACAGAATCCGTGGGAACGGCGGCCGCGCGACCATTTTTTCCGCCGTTCGGCCGAGATACTAAATCACGGGAGCGGCAACGATACATCTTAACGCTTTGAACAATGAGTTACTGCACGCGCGGCGCGATTCCGCGGCTTTCATAGATTCAACAGTTGAACGCCGATCGATCTCCCCGTCCCGGCGGCGGTTGCCGCGGCGGAACGAGGCGGGAAAATCTAATTGCATGTCAAATTGCGTTTGTTTAACCACGACGCGAAATTGTATGCAAATGATCGGCTCTTCGTGACCGGATTGCTTTAGCGCGATTTTAATTTTTGCCCCGTCGCCCGTCTCCTCTCAGATCTCGCCACGCTCCTCTCTTTCTCTCTCTCTCTCTCTCTCTCTCTCTCTCTCTCTGTCCGTGGCTGCCGCGATTACGCCTATTTTATGATTGAATATTCCATCTGTGACTGGCCTCCTGGTCTCTAGGAATGTCAAGTAGCCTACGAAGGTGTCCGCCGCTGTCTGATCGGACTGGAGGTGTGCGAAAACTTGCATATAATGAAACCGAATTTCACTCGATTCGATGCGGCGAACCGAATAATCGATTAAACCGAGTCGCTCCGATGGAAGCGAATTCAAAAATGGACCATTTTGGAAGAGGATGTATCTTATTTTGTCCATTGTTGTTCCAAAATTGTCCATTTTTGTTTACAAGCTGACGGATAATTGCAGAGAATTTGCTGTAGTTGTGGAATACATGCGTGACACTTGTAAATATTAATTGAATTAAAAGAGCGTCCACCTCATTCGCTCATTCATAGAATTTTAAATCGTCTTCGTACAAGGAGAAACAATATAAGAAGACTTCGGCGACGTTGTTAATGTATAGGGATTCTTGAGGTCATTTGAAGCAACTTTTTCCTTTGCGAAAGTGCTATCCGAGGCTTCGTTTACGAGTTATTAACGAAAAACACTGACCACTGAGAGATCGCGCGCGACTAACGCCCCGCCCTCGCGGCCACCGCCGTTGCGTCATAAGGCGAGCGCGACGCGGCATTGGCCGCGTGGGCGGAGCGCCAGCCGTGCACGCCTTTTATTGACCACTGTTTTTCGTCGATAACTCGTAAACGAAGCCTCGTAGAACATTTTCGCCAAGGAGAAAGTTACTCCAAATGACCTCAGGAACCTCTCATTTCCCGCTTGCATAATAATTTTGGAATAACTTGTATTAGAAAAGCGAGTCTCCTATTTGCTTCGAATCGCGATTACTTGGAAATTCCAGCACTGGAACATCCTAGTATTTGCGAGCGTAAATCCAGAATTTTGCAAGCTGCGGAGTATCACCGACGATTCTCGGAGATCCAGTGACGATTTTCGCAGAGCTTTCGAGGTTCCAAGGTTGCCGAGGACTCGACGGTTTCCCGAAGGTTCCTCGAATGTTGCCCGAAGGTTCGAAAACGATCCCGTCGTTCCCGTGCTTCCCTAGACAGCAGGGCCTTCTCTTCGCCGAGAGCGCATATACGTATCTGTTAAGTCGACATAATACCGCGGGGCCGCGTCATTATGTACTCCATAAGTCTCCCGGGGCCCGTGGTCCCTCTCCTTTTCCTTCTCGTTCCGCTCTCGGAGTCTCTGCGAGCAAAAAGGGGAGAAGAAAAAGGGGCGCAGAAGAGAAACGGCGCGGGGGCCTTCTCGGTGTACCCGGATACACTCGCTGCGGGCCCTACACCGCCCCCACCTCGTCCTCGGAGGCCCATGGGACCCGAGAGCCGGTGAGCCCGTGGGGCCCGCCGGTATAGGGCGAACGGTGGGGGCAAGATGCTGGCTGCAGCTCGGTGTGGCGTTCACCAGAGCAAAGAAAGAGAAAAACGCCGGCCGAGTGGGGGGAACGGGGGCCCGCGGAGAACGAGCGGAGAGGGGGGGGGCAGAGCGGAGCGCGAGGGGAGCGGAGGCGCGAAGGGAGGGGATTTTTCGCTCAGGGTCAGAGGCGTACATCACCCGCGCTCTCGCGCTCCCCGTAATAGACTGACGATCAGCCGGATTTCTATGTGCTGCGCCGCGCCGGCCCCGCAATGAGAGCATAATTTTCTATCGTGCTTAATAGCGGCCGTTCGCGGGCCTGGAACACGCCGGTAACGAGACGCCACTGACGGATTTACGACGCTCTCTATCGCCGTCGTCGTTCTCCTCGTCGTCGTCGTTTTCGTCGTTTTCGTCGTCGTCGTCGTCGTCGTTCCCGATCTTCGCGATTTCTTCCATCTCGTGGAAATTGAGTTGTGACGTCCGTAACGGAGATCGACGGGAACGACGGACGGAGTGGCGGAGATGAATCGTCCTCGATCCTTCGGCTCCAGGATCCGATAATTCTTTTTTTCGTCGCTTTCGCGTTCCCGGATCGATTTTATTCGGCGCTCGAGCAGCATACGTGCGAACTGTTAGGCGAAACCTGGACACGCAGGTGCGAACATATTGAGTTGGCAAGAAAGTAATTTCGGTTTGCATCCAATAGATAGTAGCGGTTACGTTTGCATCGCGGTTCTTTCGTTAAGGTTGTCATTTTGTTTGCCTTCTGATTTGTTAAGTTGACACGTTTAGGTTAATATATACATCTTCAGCAACACGTACAAAATTATCAGAGCTTTGTTAGGAAGCAAAGTCGCATCCGCCATATAGCTCCGACCTTGGACCATCGAATTATCATTTATCTCGAAGCTTACGAAACTTTTTGAACGGTGAAATTTTCAATAATAACGACAGCCTCGAATCACGCGCTTGATCGAGCTTTTTACTCGTAAGCGCCAGAAGTTTCACGAGCCAGAAAAATGGCGAAAAATCGTCGAACGGAACGGAAAATATTCGACCGATTAAGCTTCATTTCTCGTATAGAAGCAAAAAATTGTGTTTCATTTAACATTGAAATAACGAAATCACTTTCCTGCCAACAGAATAGTTGGCATCGTCCGCCGCGTTACAGAGAGCACCGTCCACCGTGAATATTGCATGAGCGACTTAACTGTTACACCACGCTCCAGATTTGGGGAAGTCGGATAGGCGACCGCCAATTCGGCCGGGGCCCGACGTCGCGTTTTTGGTCATCCGGAAGCGATTACACCTCGCGTATCGACGCCGAGACATTTTATTCGGCGGGGCCCGCTCGCATGCTAACCAACGGTACCACGGGATAGAACGCGAACGGACCCTTTTCTTTCGCGCTCGCGACGACCATTCGTTCGTTTCTTTCGAAATCCATTCTAATCCGTTCTAATCTCGACGCACGGAAAGCGATGTTTGCCGTCGCGCGACGGGCCACCGTTTTAGGCCCCGAAAAGGAGCCTAAAAAAGGCTTTTTTCCTCCGAAAAAAGGAGCGCATTGGATGGAACTGGAATCGCGAGATCGTTCGAGATTTTTCCATCGATTTCCATCCATTTAATCGCTGAATATCGCGCCGTTTCTTCTTCTTCTTTTTTCTGTAATTTCCGCGATAACGGAGAAACGCTGCCGTGAAACGGGGACCGGCGAGGAGGCCGTCGTTTCACGGTGACGAGGGCAACAGGACTATAAAGTGCGTTTTCGTTGCAGATCGGACGAGGATGATCCCAGCGGGTGTAAATATAGGAGGCTGGACGACGAGAATGTACAGGACAAAGAAAGATTTGCGAGGTGAGTGTCAGGCCCGACGTAACCGTGCATGCTCTCGGTGTCTTAACGATAAATGAGAGAGGTCAGTGAACGGGTTGAGCCTCCTTTTTCGGAGGGAACACACGCGTCCGAGAGGAACCGAACAACAGCCATTACGCAGGACGCACGCGAAACATCGCCGTTCTCATCCCTAATTACTGGAAAACGCACTGATTTAATAACGCTCGTAAAAAAGACTAATTACCGACGTTTCTGCACTCGCCAGCGCGGACACGCCGTATCGCCGCGAAATCGTGCGCCCGATTCACCTCGAAATCGCGGAAATCGCAAAAATCGCGCGATTCTCGTAGCGGAAACTGTGGCGAGGAGCCGTGTTCGAAGACTTTGTTGGCGAACAGTTCATTGCACCGAACGATACCGCGCAATTTAACCGAGATCCACGAGAGGCATTTTTTAAATGTTCGTTATAGGCTCCGATAGAAGAGTGGAAAAACGAGAGATTCTTGTGTTTTCTGTTATTCCATGTACATAATAGCAGAATTAACCCTTTGCCGCTAGAATTTGCCCTTGCCTGCGCCACTAGAAAGTGCTATACTATTTTTCTAAATAATTGTAACAGTATCAGATTCGTTAATAATTTGAAAAACTGTTGAAATTCCAAGTATTCTACTCGCCAGTAGGCTCAATTTCATCTGAATAAATCGTATTAAATCATATCAAATGGAAATACTGTAGATCAGAAAACATGTTTCGGATTTCGAATTAAAATAAATCATCGAATCGAATTAAAATCGTCTAGTAGACTGTTCCTCTAAAAAAGAATTCAAGTCATTTAGTTCAGCTTTGAAAAATGTATCGCGTTTCGAAAGGTGTACGAACACTTTCGTGGCCCGCTGTGCACACCTAAACATTCGTGCACGTTTCAACATCTCCGTTCGCCCTCAAAGGGCAAATTCGGCTATCTTAACCGACTAGTTAACCCTTTCCGTAACAGAGCGTGGTCGTTGTTTCTCGACGACGGACCGCGATAATTCCACGATCGAGCGTGATTTTTCGTGGGTCCTCGCGACGGTCCGCGCGCCGATGAAACGGTGAACGAGCGGTGGCTAGCTTTGGGAGGGCGCTGGGTCCGTCGGGGTACTTAAAAAATCATTTCACGGCGATTCGCGCGGGTCCCTATCTCGTCCGAAAAATCAGTGGAGCCGGTTTCCGACGTCGCCGTGACGGCATGGGACCGCATGGGACCGTACGGGACAGGCCCTAAATCGTCTCTCTCTCTCTCTCTCTCTCTCTCTCCCTCTCTCTCTTATCCCGCGTTCCTTCGGTGGCGTCTTTTCCGAGGTCCGTGCCGTCACCGGCGCTTGTTAATTCGTCTCACGGAATCCCGGGCCAATATGTTCCGCGGCGGTACACCCTGTACATGGCGGGGGCCGGGTACGAAGATACATACATACCTACATGATACCCGCCAATGTGAGTCGATAGCGGAATGGGAAGCCCTCCAGGCTGCTCCAGCGTGGGAACATAAGGTACTTATACGCGCTCGCGAGCGCGCGGCCCGCGCGTTCTCTCCGCTTCTCCTCCGCTTTGCTTCTCGATTCTACGGTTCTCCGCCGCTTCTCGCTTCTCCGCTCCTCGCTCCGCGCCGTCCACTTTGGCCACGTCCGCACCGAACCGCCGCGCGTATCGTATCGAGATCCTCTATCGCGATCCACCGGCGTGTTGACACGACGCGATCCACGAAATGAAATACGACGAGCGACGCGTATTACGCCGGACAATGCACACGGTTTCTCTCTGTGTATCGTTGCCTGTCGCGGCCGATCCCGAGCCTCTCGACACAACCAATCGCTCCAAATTCCGGATTAGCTTGTCCGACGCGCGAGACCGATCCTCGGACCGAGCAAATTGCGGGAATCGATGACGCCGCCGGGGACCGACTTTTCCCTTTTCGCGATTCGAATCGCTCGGGGGGAGTTGCGATCCCGTGATTTCTCCCCGATTCGCGCTCGGATTGCGCACGAAAATGGACGATTTGGGGAGAGCAGATGCGATTGTGCGAGTCTCGCGGCTCGTTTTTATAGGTGCCGATTGTCAGCGACTAGGAAATGCTAAATTTCTGATTGCTATGAATTCCCTGTGTGCTAGTCCTACGCCTATGTAGTTTATTGCTACGTTTATTTCCTGTCGACGCTTTTACAGAGTCTGTACGGTGTAGTGCACGGTTAAATTTACATTGGTTCTGGGGCGACATGTAAATTCTCGCGTACGGGACATCTTTTCCTATGAGGCATTCGCTCAGGAACTGTGTACGTAGTGCACGGTTAAATTTACATCGGTTGTGGAGCGACATGTAAATTCTCGCGTACAGGACATCTTTTCCGCAACAGTAACTCGCTCGATCATTGCTCTGATATCGAAGGCAAATTAATATTTTTTAAATATAAGCCTCTACTTTTTTTTTATCCATGATATAACAGCGTTTGCTGTAATTTCCTCGCGAAACTTGCCGCATCCCATTCGACGAATGTTCTCGAGTGGAAAACGATTGTTTTTCCTTGATAGTTGCTGTTTCTGGAACGTCGAAACTAAGCGCGGATCGAGCATGAGTCATGTATCAGTCGACGACGCGTAATTACAGCTCGTCCTTTGTCTACTCTTTTAATACCAGCCGTTTCGATTGCACGTTTCACGGGCAGAGCAGAGTCATGCTGCGGCTCTGGGCAGCTCTGAAACTGCGTGTCTTCCAACCAGTCGGGCGATTTTGCCCGGGTTAACCCTTAAGCGGATTATGGCGGCCGTGGAGGTCCCACGCGGCTTTAAAAAATCGTCGTCGATGTAATTATTCGTAAATTCGTATAAGCTCGCGAAGTTCGCGGCGTTTCAACGCGAATTTAACGCGACAAGTGCCGGAAACTATGATCAAAAATTCTCACGAAATCGAAGTGATCTAATCAATGGAACGGAAATTAGAAAGTTAAACGTTACCATAGTGAATGCTATTTGATCTCTTTTGCATTCTAGTAAGATTCAATTCGTTCGAATCTGCTGCAATAAAAGTTAATGTTGCAAACTGATAAAGAAATTAGTGTCACCCAAATGCGAGCCAAATGTTGACACCCACAGCTAACTGGTTAAAAATAAAATAGATTGGTTACCGTGCATTGGGCGCCCCGGTAATAATAAATAACCGGATAAGTATGGTTGCCAACACGTGAGTTAGCCAAAAGAATCGGATCAGAATCGAACACCTGCAGTTTGTAGGGCCCAACGGGACCACGGACCCCAAGTCCGTGCTAGCGAAAACAGCAGAAGAAAGCCCCGATGTCGCGGACACTCGCGGGAACTTCGGTTCTAAGTTAATAACGCAATTACCGGCTGCTGCGGCGAGGCTCGCATCCCTTTTGTCCCCCTCGAGGGGGCCGAGTTCGGGGCCCTATTCTCTTTTTGTCGGTCGCGGCGCGCTAATGCGAACGGTACCCGGCGTTTTTGGCAGGCCGATTGTTCCGCGAAACCGCGGAATCGGCCGCACTCGGTCGCCGCTTTTTCTCCCCCTTTCTTTCCGCGGAAACGCCGCCGCGGCCTCTGTAATTTCCTGCGTGGGTTGATCACGGTGGCCGACCCCTTGCGGTCCCATGGCTCGCCGCCGGACTCGCCCCCGAAACGTAATTCAACTCGAATCCCTCGTGTCTCGGTCAATGCTCGTACGAAGCGGTTAAAACGTTCAATTCCTTCTGATACGATAATTAGTTTGCGAGATTTTACATTTCTGATCGAAGAAAACAATTAGAAATTCAACGAAACTTTGATTTTCTGTGAAAAACGTGAGATTTTTGTTTTATTGTCATTTCCAGTGATAAGTAATCAAATTTAACATTTTATAGCGTGTAATCTTCTGAAAATGGATCTCATAATTTTTTATACGTTTAATATTGATCGTTTATGACGTACAAGTAACAGCAATCGCAGTTTTAGCATTATTTTTAGATAATACGCAAGGTATCCCAAGATTATTGTAAAAGCGAGAATTGGGGGTTCCTGAGATCATTTGGAGCAACTTTTTCCTTTGCAAAAATCTTCTCCGAGGCTTCGTTTATGAGTTATCATCGAAAAACGTTGTCCAATGATAGGCGAGATCAGCCGGCGCAAGGCGGTCGTGCCAATGGGCGAAACTGGGCTTCGAGCACTCGTTGGCTCGGCCGCCTAGCGCCGCCTTGCGCCAGCTGACCTCGCGTCTCATTGGCCACTGTTTTTCGTTGATAACTCGTAAACGAAGCCTCGGAGAAGATTTTTGTAAAGGAGAAAGTTGCTCCAAATTGCCTCAGGAACCCCTCATTTATTTCGATCAAAGTAATTACTGAAGTTAAATAATAATAGGTACAGCTCGAGTTGCCAATTTATTCGCGTATAAAAGGTCTTATTTTCTCCGTCAAAGTTCCCCTTCGCAACAATACCTAAATGTACTCTAATCCGCGAAGTTTCGTCGCAGCGTCGAACCGATTCCGGTGATTTGAACGCGCGGCGAGGACAACAACCCCGAGAGTCCCTGGAGCGCGTCGCGACCGGTGAATTGATCCTTTCGGAGTTCAGAGTGCGCGAACCTCTGCCGAGTGTGTCCAGAGCAAAGTTTATGATTCTTGGGTTTTACGGGCGAAACGGCGAGAAGAATACGACGCTCTTATTCGATTAAGCGACGAGGAGGATCGCGTCGCGTCGGCCTCGGAACGCGAGCAACGATCGCGCGGCGATTCGACGATTGCACTTGCACGGTAGTAAACGTACCGCGAGACGATTTATCGTCTAACGCTCTCGCGTGGCGTCTCGCCCGTGATTATAATGTCTTCGTTTCGGAATGATTTAGGGGACACTTAAAGAGTCTCGCTCGTTCACGACGAAATCACTGTTCCACGGCCTTTCATTATTTCACGCGGACGTTTATGCACGCGTCGCTCCGCGATGAAACAACCGCGACTATGTCTAAGTAACGTCTGTTATACTACGGCGGAGGTTTATAATACACC